GCAGGGCCAGGGGTTGGGGATGCTAGAGCTGCGATGGGGCCATCTGCTGAGGGAGGTGGCAGGGCCTGGGCCTGGGCCCCGGGAACCAGCGCCGCCAGCCACGTGCTGCTGGCGGGGGGCCCTCTGTCCTGTCCTCAGCACCCCTGCCCTGTCCCCGCCGGCACGGACCCCACCGGGACAGCGTCCGGCCCAGCATCTGGCCCGTGTCCGGGTTCCAGCAGTAGCGCTGGAACTCCTCCATCCGCTGGCTGCACGACTTCTTCTCCTGCAGTGCTGCCATCGGCCCTGCTTCTGGAAGCCCTCCTCCAGGAGGAGAAAGTCCGGGGTTTTATAGTCTCCTCGTCAGAGGTCAGCGGCACGGTGGAGCCGGTCCCAGGGGAGCCTGGCAGGCGTTATCACGCCGCCGCTATCGGGCAGCCCTGGCAGGTCCTCCCGCTGTCAGGTGCCTCCACCCTCTCCCTGGGCAAGTCAGGGCCCCGCTGCTGGCCCCCAGCCCCGGACGCCCTTGGCCCTGACTTGGTCTGTTCTGATAGCAGCGAAGGAGAAATTCTTCCTTGCGCGCAGGTGCCCTGCTCTTCCCGCTCTCGCTCCTTTGGGAGGGTGTGAAGGGCAGGCAGCAGGAGGGCGGGCCGGACCCCGACTCTCACCTGTCACTGACCTGCTTCCGGCTCTGAGACGAGGGGCAGCAGGTGACCGAGGTGGCGGCCCCACGGGGGTCTCCCACCACTGCCTTCCTGCTGCGCCCCTCCCTGAGCGCACACCTGGCAGTGCCCAGGCAGGGCCCTTGTCTCTGAGAGCCGTTGCTGGGGGCAGGGGGCTAGGCTCTTCAAGACTTTTTCGTGTGTCTCTGAGGAATGCACAGCCGTGCAGCCCAGAGACGGAACGCACCCCACTCCCTGAGCGTGATTTTGAAACGCAGATTGTGTGCCAAGGGGACCCCACGGTCCTGGAGCTCTCGGGGGCTGTGTGGTGGCTGCGGGGCCACAGCAGGTTCTGGGCTGGGGACACTCGGCCCTGCAGCATACTGGGTCCCCGGGGCGCCCATCCCAGCCCCGAGTTTCTGGGTGAGCTAGCCTGCGTGGGGCCTGAACCCGCAGGCCGTCTCGAGATGCAGCCAGAACCAGGAGGCCTTGGCGGTTTGCCCAGTGGGGGCCGTGACAACCGCTCCCTGGGGCATCCGACTGCGGCCAGGTAGAAAGGGCAGCCTGGCAAAGACGCTGCGCGGCAGAGGCCTCTCCACTGACGCAGAGCTCACAACCTCTGGCCTTGTGAGGCGGTTCCCTCACTGCCACTCCCAGGCCTTCCCGCTGAGGGACCTGTGCAGCCAAATTTGAGGTTCCTTTGGGACCAAGAAAACCCCTCAAGCCGTCATGCTCATTTTCTTCAGGATGATTTAGTTTGTCAGCAAATTGAACAGCCCAGAATTCAGATGCAATTGCACCATTTTAGCTTGAACTCATAATTGCTTAATGGACCAATCCTCTGCATGTTCCTTAACTGTTCCCATTCACAACTTTGGGATTTTAGGGCCGTAAAAACAGGGAATGCTGCACTGGGCTGCAGTCTAATCGCCCACAGCCTGCGAGCCTGGGACCCAGAGTGCCCAGGCCTGAAGCCACAGGGCAGCAGCTGGTGTCCCCGGAAGAAACGCCGCCCTGGTCTGGAGAGGACAGAGATGCTCTGGGAGTGAGCAAAGGGTGAGTTCTTTCTGGAAGTCTTTGAAATCTTCCACACTCAGTCTCTGAATTCCCAACAGGGAAAGTGTGTGCACTGCACACTCGTTATCAAAATGACCTTCTTCAGACACGCGCTGGGGGGAGGGGACGCAGGAGAGGGCATGGGGAAGGGCAGCTGTGCCCTGGGTGTGCCTCAGCTGTGTCTCAGGTGTGTCCCTAGCGTCCCCCACATGTGCCCCAGGTGTGCCCCAGGTGTCCCCCAGGGTGTCCCTGGCCTCTTCACCCCCCTCGCTCTCTGTGGGGCCTCAGCCCTGGGTGCAGCTGGGGGCCTCCTGCTCCTCACCCTGCCTTCACTGGCTTCTCAGTGTCTCTGCTTTGCCAGCACTCCCCAGGGGAGTGGGGGCTGATCCCTCACCCAGCGCCGGGGCTACCTGAGGCCGTTGGTCATGGTGACACAGCTGCTCTCAGTGTCAGCGCGGGGTGGAGTTTGGTCCTGGCAGGCTGACCGGCCCCCTGGCCGGTGGTCACTCCTCAACTCCTAGCATAGCTGATTTTCTTCCCACTTGCTGTTTCTCTAGGGACAAAAGTGAAGCCTCGTGGGGAAACACAGCTGTCTTCGTGAATTCACATCCCCGGCCCCTCCCTTCACTTGGGCCTCGTGTCCCCACGGGGAAGCCGGCGGACGGTCCGGCCCTTCGACTTGGGTCCGAGGGCAGACAGGCGGCTCTGGGCTCCCGCGTGGTGTGGCTGTCGGGGGTGTGTCCTTCCCTGCGAGAAGGAGGGGAGGAGCCAGACAGGGCGGCTGCTCTAATCCATCTGGAGCAGCTTAGGGATTGTCTTTTTCTGGCACCTGCTGCGCCCTGAGCGTCCTCCACTCCGGCCGGGCGGGCTTAGCCTGAGCTGCGTCTGCCGGGCTCCCGGGGCCGCAGCCGGGCCGACTTCCCATCCCCAGAGGGCAGGCGCGGGCCACAGACCAAGGGCAGCGGGTCAGGCCAGCTCGGGACGCGGTGCCTGACGCGACGGGAGGGAGTGGGCCCCAGGATGGATTTCGGGGCCCTGGAGACAGTGGTGGCCAACTCCGCCTTCATTGCTGCCCGGGGCAGCATCGACGGGAGCGGCGGCCCGTCCTCCCGAGACAGGAGGTACCTGGCCAGGCTGAAGCTGCCCCCGCTCTCCAAGTGCGAGGGGCTCCGGGAGAGCCTGGACCTGGACTTCCGCAGTGTGTGCTCCGAGCAGCCCATCGGCAAGCGGCTCTTCCAGCAGTTCCTGAGGGTGGACGAGAGGCACGTGCCGGCCCTGAGGCTCTGGAAGGATGTCGAGGACTACGACTTGGCCGACGACGACCTCCGGCCGCAGAAGGCCCAGGCCATCCGGGCCGAGTACCTGGACCCCCAGGCCAAGCTCTTCTGCAGCTTCCTGGACGAGGGGACGGTGGTGCGGGCCAGGGAGGGGCCGGTGGCCGGCGAGGACGGGCCCTTCCAGCCCCTCCTGCAGGCCACCCTGGAGCACCTGAGCCAGACCCCCTTCCAGGAGTTCCTGGGCAGCCTGCACTTCCTGCGGTTCCTGCAGTGGAAGTGGCTGGAGGCCCAGCCCATGGGGGAGGACTGGTTCCTGGACTTCAGGGTTCTGGGGCGTGGCGGCTTTGGGGAGGTGTCGGCCTGCCAGATGAAGGCCACTGGCAAGATGTACGCATGTAAAAAGCTGAACAAGAAGCGGCTGAAGAAAAGGAAGGGGTACCAGGTGGGCAGCTGTGGCAGGCAGGTGGGCAGGTGGGCAGGTGGGCAGGTGGGCGGGCCCACCCTGCGGGGCACCTGCTTCAGCCCTGGGTGGCATGTCCATCCTGTGCACCTTGTCCGTCCGAGTCAGCCTGTCTGCACAGCTGCCGAGCCCGGGCTGGAGGGGGCTGTGGGCCGTGTGTGGCCTCCTGCACTGGGACTCAGCTCGTCCGGCTGGGCTCGGCACTGGCCCCTCCTACACGGTCTCCTCCCCACTCTGGCTTTCTGGAATCTTCCCTGGCTAGTGCCGAGGAGGCGGCACGGGGAGCTGGTGCAGGAGGCTCCGTGGTGCTGGGCCGGGAGTGGATGGAGGCAGGTGCTCTGAGGGGGTCTGCCCTCCGATCGGCGTCAGGCTCCACTTGGGAGGGTCCGTGGAGGCGGCTTAGCATCTCAGGAGCCATCTCCCGGCGGGCATCTCGTCCCGCAGGCCCTCGTCCCGTTCCCTCTGCACGGAGCAGACCGTGCTGCGGGCAGACAGCGGGCACCGCGGGGCCTCCCGTTGCACGATGCTCTGCCCTTGCGCCTGCGTGGCGTCCACCATAAACTTCAGTCCACAGTTAGAATACAACAGCTGCTCTGTCCTGAGTTCAGGACCCTTACAGAGCTTTCACGAAGTAAAATCCACCTGAAACTCCCCACATGGCGGTAGGAAGGGCTCCTCCCGCACGGAGGGTCCCTCCCTCAGAAGGACGCTTTCTCCTAACCCAGCCCATCTCGAACAGACTCATTAAATGGACTTCAGGGGCTTTACAATGCATGTGGACCATGAACAGGGATGTGGAGCGGCTTGGGGGGCCCTGGCTGGTGGACTCTGGCTGACCTTTGTGTCCAGAGGCCTGGTGGGGAGGGCAGGCTGGGATCGCAGCAGGAAGGGCTGGAGGGGGGGTCAGCCCCCGACAGGCTGCCAGGGGACCTGCTGGGACCCTCACCTGCACTCGTAAGACCGGGTGGCGGGAGCCCCCTTGCTGGAGGCTCTGGGAAGCCTGAAGCCCTGGGATGTGACGGGTTTGCTGGTGATCTTGCTGGCGTGGAGCGGGGCGTGTGAAGTGTGTCTCTGAGTTACGTGCAGTTGCTTCGTGCCACCGCTTCCAGCATCTGTCCGCAGCTCTGATGCTCTTTGTGACGTTTTCTGGCTTGTGGAACTCGGCCGTTTTGGCGGCATCACGTTCGTAAGTCTGGGTGCTTACCCTGATTTTCAGGGCGCGATGGTGGAGAAGAAGATTCTCGCCAAAGTCCACAGCAGGTTCATAGTGTCTCTGGCCTATGCCTTCGAAACCAAGACCGACCTCTGTCTGGTGATGACCATCATGAATGGAGGTGACATAAGGTAAAAGGTTCTCTCTCCAACATGGGAGCCGGGATGGGAGGCCGGGGCCGAGTGTGGAGCGCGGGTCCCTGAGCCCAGGGGGCTGCCTCCCACGCGCCGAGGGCCCGGGGGCCACGAGGGAAAGCCCTGCCCCCATCCAAGTCCGTCTCTGGCTCCTGTTTGCTGGTTCTCAAATGGTGTGTCCTCAGTCCCAGCAAAGTGCAGGTCCCCGGGGGGACTGTCGTTGGCCGGTCCTGTGGGTGAGGGGCTCGGGGGATGGCAGGGGACTGGGTGGGCAGCAGGGTCTGTGGCTGTGGGTCAGGTGCTGGTCAGTGGATGGATGAATAAAGGGATCGAGGGCCTTGCTCTCTGAGGGGGAACCAACGTGGAGAAGCTTCATCAATGCCACGCTCTGGATGACTGCAGAGCTGGGGCACCATGTGGCCGACTTCGGGAGCTGTGGCCTGGCGGTCACCTGGTCACAGGCAGGGGCAGCCAGAGGGCCTTGTTGCTGGGCGGGGCCTGTGTTTGCCAGAGACCTGAGGGCCCTGGGCTCCTGGGGGAAGTCGGGTCACTTGCTCTCCGAAGGGAGGCCCACCTGTGAGCTGGGCAACCTGGCCTTACAGCGTGCTGGTTTACAAAGTGGGGGTGGAGACGAAATCCCGGTGCTCAAAGGTTGCTGTGGAGACTAAGTCCACACTCTGGGACACTAGGAAGACTGCCACACGTCCCTTTCACAAGAGGGGCCACGCTGCGCCCCTGTCCTCCCGTCTGCGCTCACCGGCGCCGAGACCCTGCCAGGTAAGCTTGTCAGCTCCCTTTTCCCGATAAGGGTCTGAGGCCTGATTGCACAACCCACGCAAGTTCTGGAAGAGAAGCCAGGGGTCCGGGAAGGGCAAACAGCCTGACTCAAAGCGCAGAAGTGGTAGTGACGCTCACCGCCCTACCTTTGACCACGCTGCAGTATGCGATGCAGCACGGTACCAGGAGTGTGGGGTACATCACACCGCCCCACGCTGACCACGTCAGGCTGTCGAGGACGCACCTGCTCTGTGCTGCGCTGTGCTGGAGCCCTACGCTGCGTTATACTGCACTGTAGTGTGTTATACTGCACTACATGGTAGCGTGCTGTAGACTGCCGTGCACTATAGGCTGCGGTGCGCTACAGGCTGCAGTGCACTCTCCCGCTCTCGCTGCACCACACCACGGCACTGCTATCTCATACCACTCTGCGTTTTGCTCTATGTGCTGCATTGCACTGAACCACATTGTACTGCGCCATGTGATGCTACATGCTCTGCGCTATACTGCGCTGTGCCACGTACTCCGTCACTGTCCTACACTGCATCAGACTGCACTCTATGCGCTGTGGTGCGGTGCTGTGCTGTTACACTGCGCTGCGCGCTGTGTTGTGCTGTGGTGCAGCATCCTGCACCACGCTGCCGCACACACAGTACACTCCACGACAGCAGACTGCACTGTGCTGTACTGCACTACTCAGGCCACGTGCTGTGCACTGCTCCGCTGTGCCGTGCTGCGCTGTGCCGTGCTGACCGTGTTACACTGTTTTGCACTGTCTGTGCTCACAATACCACACCACACTGCCTGATGCCACACTGTACGTTGCACTGCATTACACCACATTGTATCATGTTCTGCTAGGCTGTACTGCACTAGAGTGTACCCGCCTCACCCCACACCCCACCAAAACATAAGGCCACGTAAGAGCCACTCACGCTGTTGCTCCAGCTGTCTTGTAATCCGGCTGATTCGAGGGTTTCCTTCTCATTTCTTTGTGATTCCGCTTGCCTCTACCCTCCTTGGTTGCTGTCCAGTTTGAATAATTCATTTGTTAGGTTTGCTTCTCTGTGAGATGTGAACGCCACCTGGGGTGGGGCAGGAGGGGCATCCTGCTGCAGGCCCACGAGGGTCTGCGTGTCTGGTGCACGGCCGAGATGCGTCCTGGGCTCTGTGGTGACCACTCACACCTGATGGGCTGCCTTCCTCCCCTCTGCCCACTCCTTCGGCTGGTGACCGTGCAGTGGCTGTGGGGCCCGTTTCCCAGGCTCCATGGGCCGGGGTGGGGGCGATGGGGTGAGGACGGCTACCCTGCGTCTTCCCTATAGCCACTGCGGTGGAGGGGGCTGTAAGGATGCGAACGCGGGCCACGGGGCCTTGGCTGTGCTGCAGGCTCTGCAGGCTGGACCCTGAGGCTAGAATGACAGGCGCTCTGCTGACGGTGCACGGGAGGCTGTGGCCTCCCTGTTCTCCTGAGACTTTACTTTCCATCAAGACCACAGGCACAGGTCTTGCAGTCGTGCCAGAGAGGCACAGGCCTCCTCGTGGTCTGCCCGCAGGTACCACATCTACAATGTGGATGAGGAGAACCCGGGCTTCCCGGAGCCGCGCGCCGTCTTCTACACAGCCCAGATCATCAGTGGCCTGGAGCATCTGCACCGGCACCGCATCGTCTACCGAGACCTCAAGCCCGAGAACGTGCTCCTGGACGATGACGGTGAGGCGGCTCCCCGCTGGGCCTCCCCCTCCCGGCCTCCCCTCCCCCTCCCCCATCCTCCTGTCCAGGTTCACCTCTGTGGCCTGACTGGTCATTGGTAGTGGGCCGACCTTGACAAATGCTCGTTAAGTTTCTAAACGGCACCAGGACTCATCTCAAGTTTGTTTATTGTTCATTCAGCTGTTTTACGACAGAACGGGACTGTGCGCACAGGGAGATTCTGGTTGGATTTGGGGTGCGGTTTGGTGCGTGACTAGGATGTGGACAAGTGTGGCACTATTAGTAAATGGTTGAGTTTCTGGCCAAACCCGCCCTCTGGCGCTCTTTTCCTTCTGCGCTCGGTGAGGAGCTGAGCTGGGGTTCTCTCGGGAAATACCGGACACATAGGTTTCCCTTCAGCCCTTTCTGTCACCAGGTCAGACAGACACGGACGTTCCCACAGGCTGCAGAGCTCAGGAAGGCAGAGATGGGGAGGCTGAGCTGGGGTGGACCTTGCCCGAAATCCAGCTATAGGTCCTTCTGCAGTAGGACTGGGGAGTGGGGCCCGCCCGGGTGTGCGTGTGCAAGCGTGTGTGCCCATGCGTGCACACGTGTGTGCAGAGGCTGGCCTTGGCTCTGGGAACCCCAGGCACCTTTGTTTTGTGGAGCCACATGTGACCTCAGCCCACGCTTGCTTTTCAGGCAATGTCCGAATTTCCGACCTTGGGCTGGCCGTGGAGCTGAAGGACGGGCAGACCAAGACCAAGGGCTACGCAGGGACCCCGGGTACGACCTGAGAGCAAGAGAGGGGACAGTGGTGGGGGTGGGGGCGAGGCCCGGGGTCCTGGGGTCCCGTGGCCGGCACAGTGGGGGCGGGGGTCGTAGGGAAGCTGCTACCCCTCCCCCAAAGGGGGAGCGGGCCAGTGGGAGGGCAGCCACCTCAGGGAGGACCCTCAGACTCGCCCCCAAATCCCCTTGTGCCTCTGACTGAAGGCTCCCCAGCGCCCGGGGCAGGGAGGACCCCGAGGGTCTGCCTGAGTGAGACACCGCAGGGCCAGGGGACAGAGCTCGCCTCCCCAGCCCAGGCTCCACTGGGAAGCCTCCTGTGGGCGAGACTGGGGCCGTGGGGCACCAGCCCCCACCTCATGTGGCCCAGGGTGGACGTGGGCGGGGGGGCTGGTCTTGCAGGGGGCCAGGCTGCCCTTGTCCAGAGCATGTGTGCATGTGTGTGAGTGTGTGCATGTGCAGGAACATGTCTGAGTGTACACGTGTGAGTGTGCCTGTGTGTCCGTGTGTGTGTATGTCTGTGAGCATGTGTCTGACTGTGTGTATGCCTGTGTGTGTGCTCACGTTTGTGTCTGTGTGTGTGACTGAGTGCATGTGCCCCCAGGGCACCCTTACCCCCCCGCGGGGCGCACAGACAGCAGAGCAGAGACTCCGGAGCAGGGAGGCGGTGCTCCTGGCAGGCTCACACTCGCACCGGCGCAGCAGCCCCACGCCCTCCACATTCCTGAGGGTGCTAATTCTTAGTTAATTTCCTTCCTCCCTGTTTGATTCTCAGGGAGAAAGTGGCCTGTGGGCCGGTGGGGTCTGTTTGTCCCAGATGCTCCCAGCCACGTGCCGTGGGGCCTGTGAGGGGTTGCACTGTCGCCACTGTGGGCCTGTCGCCGTGTGTGGCTTTTTAGGGAAAGGTCCTGTCTTGCCTTTTCTGGCTCCTCTCCCAGGTGTGCCGCGGACAGAAACGCCTGTGGGCTCTCGCCTGGGGACTCGGATCTGTAGGTCCCAGAGAGCCCCCAGCAGAACCTGGATGGGAAGCCCCGTGTGGCTGACTCTGCTGTGCGAGGCCCTGCCGGCCGCTAGAGGGCGCCACGACCCTGCCATGCTGCCTGGCGGCTCCGAACGCCAGGAGGGGCCTGCCAAGGGTCTGGCGGGTAGCGGGGCTGGAGCTGGGGTGTGAGTTAGAGGGCCTGGCATCCAGCGAAGCCGGGGAGCCCCCCCACCCTGAGCCCAGGCCCCCCAGAACCGCAGCTCTGCACCAGGTCAGCCGCAATCCACCCAGGTGGGGTGGCACACCCTGCCAGCCCCTCAGGGTGCGAGGAGACGGGGTCCCCCCGGGGAGGGGGGTGGACCTGGAAGGGTAGCACTAAGCTGAGCCGGCGTCCACGCACCCACACACACGCATATTTGCCACGTGAGACCTGAGAGACAGACGTCCTCGGACCGGGCGCAGGGAGCCAACTAGACGTGCCAGGGGGCTGGGGTGTCTCTGTGGTCGGCGGCCCCCTGAGCCCCGTTTTCCTGGAGAAGTTGTGGTGAGTTGACCATGTCTCTCCCCAAGTCAGAGTGGTCAGGACAGTCACGCACTGCCCTGCAAAGGCAGCACACAGAGTTGCGTTCAGGGCCGGGAGGCGTGGTGGCATTTGCCCTCTGCAACCTCTCTGGGAGAATGGCCCTGAGGTCCCAGCAGCCCGGGCCCAGTGGCCCAGCCACCTCCCTCCTGGAAACTTGCCGTGAACGCAGGAGGACCAGGGAGGGCTGCCAATACATGGGCACAGTTAGCTTTGCTTCTGGGGAGAAGTGTCTAACGTCCTCCCAGCAGAGAAGCCGCCCTGGCACCCAGCGCCAGTGCCTGCCCCGGCCCCAGGGCAGCGCACTGCGGCCCCGAGGCTGCCGCTGCCGCCCGCCCTCCCCACTCGCCGGGCTGGCCTCTCCTCGGGCACCTGGGGATGGAGGCTGGAGCTGGCTCTGGGGGTGTCATCCTTCACCCTGTGGAGCCCAGCCCGTGGTGCGGAGCAGACGGGCCATGCAGCACCTGGGCGGCTCTTTGGAGCAAGGAGGCTTCCGTCTCTCCTCCTGTGTCCTTCAGGCAGCAGCCTGAGCACCCGTCTCTGACCCCGCCCCCACCCCCGGGTCCTGCATGAGCCTGAGACGCTGCTCCGCCTGCTGTGGGGGGTCCCATCCGGGCAGCTGTGCTCAAGGGGACGCTCGGCAGTGGCAGCGTCGGCAGATGTCTGGCTGTCACATCTGGGGAGTGCTTCCTTGGGGGTGGGGGGGCTCCGGGCACTGGCAGCCCCACGTGTCTCCGTGCAAGGCCCCCGCTCTGGGAGGTGAGTGCCCTGCCGTGCACTGTGCCCTGAGTCACACCACGCTCCTGTTGCAGGTTTCATGGCCCCGGAGCTCTTGCGGGGAGAGGAGTACGACTTCTCTGTGGATTACTTTGCCCTGGGGGTCACGTTGTACGAGATGATTGCAGCCAGAGGACCCTTCCGAGCCCGCGGAGAGAAGGTAGGAGGTGGACAGCCAGTGTCCCCGCGGCTGTCCTGGCACCAGCTCCATGGGTGTGTGTGAGTCATGGGAGCAGTGTCCCCGCAGTGACCTGCTGACCCTCCTTTTAGGGGAGCATTAAGCTTTCTTATGGTCAGTCCTTCCTGGGCAGAGGAGGGGACATGGTGACGCCATCTCATGACTCCTTGGACACTCAGGACCAGGTCAGGAGGGAGGAACCTGGACACCCCAACCCCGCAGACGGCCCTCTCTGGACACAGCAGGCTCCCTGGGTGTCCTGCAGGGGTGGAGGCTGGGAGCAGCTGCGCCCTGCCTCTCCCAGTCCCCCGTCCCTCCTGCGTGGCAGCCCCACACCCCCTGGGCACTTTGCTCCAGCCCAGCAGAACCCTGAATGCATGATACAGAGGCTCCATCAATGTTCGAAACTAAAGGATCAAACTGGCCTCTTCCTTGGGCCCACTGGGCCCGGTGCCGACTCAGCTCAGAGACCTGTGGGTCGTCTGTGGGGCGTCACAGGGCGTGAGGGGGCCTGGCGTGACCGGCAGTTTAGACGCAGCCCCTCTCTGTCCATACACACAGCCCCACAGCCTGCCTGGGCGTCACACCCGTCACTTCTTCTGCCTGGACCTCCTCGTGTGGCCCTCACCCAACCCCAGTCCCCACCCCTTTCCCTGAGACAGTATGGGAACAAAGTCCCCAGTCTTCAGGAGTGCAACCCCTCTGTGACCAATGCGTAATGTCACTTTGTGTGCCTGCACCTCAGCCTTCAATTCTAGTAACAGTTTTCTCCCCAACCTGCAACAGCTCACAGAGCAAAATAAAGCAAAATGGTATGGGGGCCACGTCAGCCTCAGGCCACATAGAAGCTCCACCTCAGAGCCCTCACTGGGCCCACAGGTCCCTGTTTTCTGTGTGATAATGAGCATGACTACCCTTCCAGGAGCTCAGCCCCAAAGTACATAGAGAACCACCTGTGGTCCCTCCACACGTGGTCCACCCGTGGTTCCCTCTATGTGGTCCCACTGCACGTGGCCCACCCGTGTGTGGTCTATCCATTGTTCACCTGTGCGTGGTCCCACTGTACGTGGTCCATTCATGTGTGGCCTGTCTGTGGTTCCCTCTGTATGTGGTTCCCTCTGTATGTGGCCCCACTGCATGTGGTCCATCGTGCATGGTCCCTCCGTTGGATACACCCTCGACATGGACCAGTCTTGAACCTGTCTCTAATGATGAATGACAGAACCTGGCCCCAGAGAGCACCTCTGGGTGATCCCAGTTCTCTGAGGTTTTAGGGGGAGTGAGCCTGACTGGGTGGGAGCGGAATCGGTCAGCCTTTGGCTGAGGTGGGGTGGAGGCTTCCGGGTAGCTCCCTGGTGGCTGACCTGCTGGAGTGAGTCCTGTGGCTCTGAGTTTTGCTCCGTTGCTCTCTAAGGCAGCAGGGACCCTGTGGGCGTCAGCCGCCAGGCCCCTGTGCCAGCTCGGGCCTGTCAGGTGGCTTCTCCCTCAGGTTCCTCTCTTCCTCGGTCGGGAGGGAAAGGTTATGTGAGTGTAAGTTTCACCTGTGCGATTTCACGCCCAACCGGCGGTTCTGAGCCCTTTAAAGGCCGACATGCAGGGAGGCTGGTGCAGGCTCCCTCCCAAAAGCAGGGCCGGCAGGCGTCAGTGCAGCCGTGTCTGGGGCTGTCGTGGCAGCTCGGGCGATGCCGGTGGGCTGGGCCGGGGTGACACGGCTGACAGACAGTGCGTCCGCGGTGCAGGTGGAGACCAAGGAGCTGAAGCAGAGGATCCTCGAGGAGGCAGTCACTTACCCCGACAAGTTCAGCCAGGCCAGCAGGAGCTTCTGCGAGGCGCTGCTGCAGAAGGACCCCGAGACGCGCCTGGGCTTCAAAGACGGCAGCTGTGACGGGCTCCGTGCCGACCCCCTCTTCAGGGACATCAGCTGGCGGCAGCTGGAGGCCGGTAGGGTCCTGCCTGTGCGCCTCGGGCCTGGTGTGGGTCTGCTAGGTGACCCCCTGTCCCACTGGCATCTGGCAGCTCAGCGCCACCTCCCAGGGCAGGCACCTGGCTGGGGCTCCGCCTGCCACCATCCCTCTGCCCCGAAGCACCACAGCCAGTTCTCCGTTCACCCCGTTGCGCCCCGGGTCTCTTGGGGAACTCGCGGAGGCCAGCAAAGTTCGGATGGGGCGTGTGGGAAACTTGCTGACACGCCTTTGCATCAGAGGCGCTGGGCGCTTCCTTGAAGGAGCCCACGACCCAAGTCCAGGTGGCATGTCTCTAGCCGCCTGCTTGGGAGAAACTCATCCATTCAACCAGCATTTGCTGTCAACTCACATCCAAGATACCTGTGTGTGTGTGCGTGTGTGCGTGTGTGCACGTGTGTCCTCGTGAGAGAAGCGCGTCAACCCTCAGAGCCTGCGGTCTGCGAGCACGTGACCTCACAGCCTAGGGACATGGCAGTGAGCATTCGCTGCCCCAGTAGAAGCTACTTTGGCAGGAAGGGTGAGAGCAGAGGCTGCTCTGGCTGATCTGAAGGTGGGAGAGCTGCCCAGCCCAGCTCAGGACTGGGGAGGTCAGGCAGCTCGAGGAGTCAGAACTGTGGAGCCTGCAGGTTAGGCCCGAGGCCCCTGCAAGTCTCCGGCAGGTGGACCCAGCCCGGGGTCTGTGCCCAGGGGAGGAATGGTGTGAGAGGCACGAGCACTTCTGTTCTGAGTTGGGGCCTGGTGTCCGACCTGCAGATGGGGAGGCCGGCACGGGGGTCTGCAGAGAAGGAGGGTGGGCGCGGCAGTGGGGGAAGGCGGTGCCACCGAGAGCACGCTGACCTTCGTGACGGGGCCCTGGGAGTGCCGGCGAGAGGCAGTGTCGTCCAGACTGGACTTGGGTGTCCAGCTCACTCAGCGCCCTGGGGGCCCGGGGGGCCCCAATGTCACTCTCCTTGTTACTGCCAGGGCCCCGCTGCCGAGGGCCCCGCCGCCCAGGGCCCCGCTGCCAGGGCCTCGCCGCCAAGGCAGACGTATCTCCCGTCTCCCAACAGGGCTGCTCGTGCCCCCCTTCACCCCGGACTCCAGGACCGTCTACGCAAAGAACATCCAGGATGTGGGGGCCTTTTCCACGGTCAAGGGGGTGGTCTTTGACAAAGCAGACACAGACTTCTTCGAAGAGTTTGCCACTGGCACCTGCTCCATCCCCTGGCAAGAGGAGATGATTGAGACCGGTGTCTTTGGGGAGCTGAATGTGTGGCGCTCTGATGGGCAGATGCCAGATGACATGAAGGGGGTCTCTGTGCAGGCAACCCCCCCGTCCAAGTCGGGAATGTGTCTGGTGTCCTAGATGACCGGGCCTCCGGGAGTCAGCGGAGCTGCCAGCAGTGAACGACCAGCCCCCGCCAGGCCACCTGCATGGCCGTGGCTGAGCTGCTTTCTCCCGGGCACCCGGGCAGGAGGGTGGAGGCTGGTCTGGCCAGATCTACCAGGCTGGGTCAGGAGCCCCAGCCTGTAAGCTGTACCTGGATGGAACCCGCCGACCTCGCAGGGCTCTCCAGGGCCCCCGCAGTGGACGTGCGCGCTGGCGGAGGTTTGGTGTCCTGCCACCGTAACTGCACCTTCCCAGAGCCCTGCCTTCTCTCGGTTGGGTCAGAGGTTGGCAATCCGCGGCCTGTGGCTGGAGAGGCCCAGACCTCGGGCCTGGCTTGTTTCCTCGGCACCCGGATCTTGTCCCCACCCTCCAGCCACCTGGTCACCGCCAGGGCCCAGGCTGGTCACCACCTGAATGTCGCTGTCCGGGGACCAGATGTCCAGGATGAGGGGAGGGTGTTGGGGCCTGAGGGTGAGACTGACTCTGGTGGCCACCCCTCTTGGCTTTTCTTTATCCCAAGAATGTCTCCAGACAATGGCAAAGCTGCCCCCACCCCTTGCCCCAGGCAGACGGGACGGGGCGGGTCACAGCTTTTTTAAGCACCTGCCACCCCCTAGCTCTGCCTCTTGGGCCGCAAGGCCCAACCGTTTCTGTCTGTCCATCCCGATCTTATCTCCCAGGTCTGCTCTGGCCAGTCCTGTGACCTGGGGTTTGCTGACTGAGGCCATTAGTGTCCGCCTCCCCCATCTCCCCAGCAGCGGCAGCCCTAAGCCTCTCTCTGGTCTGACCAGCCCCAGGCACCACCTTTGCGGGGGTTGGTGTTTCCAGCTGCACCTGAGCCTCCCAGTGCCCCCGAGTGTTCACCCAGTTCAACCTGGAGAACATATTTTTGGAGCAGCTGCTTCTGGAGCCCCTAACCCGGCCGAGAAACCCGACACCCCACGGAGGGCTCAGCCTGAGAGCAGACAGGGGAGGAGCTGGGATTTGGGGCCTGGGGACCCACTTCCAGAAGAGGGGTCTCTGACCTTTTCTTAGGGGAGAACTTCTGAGTTCCCTGCCACTCAGGCACAAGTGGCAGGAGGAGGGACAGCTGAACTGCATGCTGGTCCAGCAGGGCACCTGGGGCCCCGAGGACATCAGTGGGGCTTCTGCCGTCACCTGGCTGGTGCGGCTGATGTTGGGTCCCGCCGGGGATGGAAAAGTGCAGTCCTCCATAGACCCCCACGTGCCTGGGGGTCCTGCCAACCTTCTAGCCACGGCACAGACAGCTGCCCCATGGGATTCAACAGAGCGTGGGGCACCTCCGTCCTCAGACTGTCACACGGAGTGTGGGGAGTGGCCCCCTGTCCTCAGACTGTCACACGGAGCATAGGGCGCTCCCACCGTCTGCTCTCCCTGCAGCCGCGGGAGAGGAGTGGTCCTGACAGCACGACCTGGCGGCCATGGCCCTGCTGGTGCAGCCACTGCCAGAGGCAGGCCCCCGGGCAGGTGTGGGGTCGGACAGCCGTCAGGTGTAAGAGGCCAGCTCGTTGGTGGGGATGTTCCAGTGTGTCTCCGGGTCCCGGTGCACGGAGGACATTAAAGCCCCGCAGGATGACCATCTCTCCTGTGCGACAGTCAAGGAACTTTCTGGAAGGGCCTTGCGGAGTGTCCAGTGTTTTTCGTCTGTGACCTGAAACTGCCCCTGTATGTCTCCTGGGAGGCCCAAGACGGGGGACCTACAGGGTGAGGGAGGCTGGGCTGTTGGCAGGACTGGCTTTGTGTCCCAGGGTGGGACAAGTTGATCACCCAATGGCTAGAAATCCCACTTCACTGCATTCTGGTGCAAGAAAGACCACCTCTGATTTTCCTAAGCCCACTTAGTCTGCACTAGGTCCCCATGGCCCTGAGCAGAGTGATTTAAGCCACCTCGTTGGGTGGGTGTGCCCTTGGCCCTCGGCAGACAGAGACAGAGCTGCCCACAGGAGGGCCTCCTGGGCGCTCCCTGGGGCTTCTGGGCTGATTCTGGCCAACCCGATAACTGACAAAACCCAGGAAAGTCGTAGTTGGTCTGCAGTAACGGAATCCTTGGGCACCAAGGGTCCCGTCAGATGCTGTGTCCTCGGCCGGTCCTGCTGCCTGCACCGCCCGCTGTGCCCCGGACTCAGAGACCCGCCCGGCGCCGGGCCTGAGTGATGGGGCAGGTGAAACCCACCTCGTCCCCAGGCCCCGCTGTCCACAAGCAAGGCCCTACTCCAGCCCTTGGGTGGGTAACAGGGCCTTCGATTAGATGGGACACCTGGCAGGGTGGGGCCTGCGGTGACAGACACCTGAGGCACAGTGGATGGTGGGGCCCCTGTGCACAGGGCTTTGGTCTTCAGTCTCGCAATTCCCCGAGGTAAGGACGCCCCCTCGTGGGTGTAGTCACCCCCACCCCCTGCCCCAGAGAAGCATCTTGGTGAGACAGCGCAGGGCAGACTGGCGTCTCGGAGACTCGAGCTCCAATCACCTTCAGATTTGAAAACAATCTGAGTGGATTTTGGTTGTGGGCATGATGGTGCTGGCGAACTACCCTACCCCCACCGCCCAACCCCGGCCTGCAGCTGAAACCACTGCTGGGAGCTAGCTGAGGCTCTGATGGTGGAGAGGGCAGGGGCCCAGGACCACCGGTGCAGTGCCAGAGAAAGCACACAGGGCCCCAGGAGAGGCTGCTCTCTGTGCCGAGGGGCGGTGGAGGAGGGCTGGCAGGTGGAAAGCAAGGCGAAGCGGGGACTGCGCTTTGATGAGGCCACGACCCCCCCTGGGCTGTGCCAAGGGGCCCCGTGGGAACCCGGGCTTCCTCCCGCTCTGCCCGCCTGGCGGGAATGACCACCCCCAGCAACAGGAATGGCCCCCGACCCCCAACCAGCACGGCAGAGGCCACCTGCAGTAACCGGTGCTGCCCCCACCGCCCCGGGCGCCAGGGAGCCCAGGGTCTGTAACATGACCCCCAGATGTCCAGGACACTGCGAAGGTCACCCATCAGCCAGGAGCCCCCACCCCCAGCTGGACTGAGCAAGCCTGTCAACAAAGTCAGCATGCAGCCACGGCCAGTGGGGTCACCGATGGCCCCAGCGAGTGATCACCCAGCACCTGAAGGAAGTAGAAACAGACAATCTCAGCAAAGGGATAGGGCTGTGAGCCCCGGGGTCGGGATGGAGGGGTTGTTCCAGGCTGTCTGGCAATGCCTGGCAGAACACAGTCCAGTCCTGGACCAAAGTCTTTGTCATCCCCCCTTGGTGGCTCTTGGGGACAGTGTGGGCCAGCCGTGTGCTCTCAGGGGCCCAGCCAGGGTGACCGAGGGACCGCTCCTGCTGATCCCTTGGACTCGGTCACACGCCCAACATGTCTCGGTGACCTTTCTGCTGGGCTCACTGTTAGATCCTCACAGCCAGCTGGGTGTCCCTGTGTTTGGTCTTCACAGAGCTGGATGGGCCCAGGCCCTGCAGCGAGCGTTCAGATGTGCAAGGAGGGTCATTCCCACAGACGGGTGGGCAGTGAGGCGTGGGATCCCAGGTGCCCCGGGAACCCCTCAGCACAGTCCAGTGGGGGGTTGGGTCCTCGTCACAGCCCATGGTGTGACGACCCCGACTGGAAATAAAACGAAGAGGTTACCGACATTTTGTAAGCTCACAGAAGACCAGTTGGAAAGGAAGCCTCTGTTTGAAAATAAGTTTAGAAATCGTACGAGACAGGCTCTTGGGTACCACCCAGACGATTTAACACGAATAAGCCTTGATGCGGCTCTGTACAAACCAGACCTCAGTCCCCCAGTGGCAGCGGAACAGTGTTTTCCGGTTTGTCCTTCTTACGGGCGGGATGGAGGGCCGAGGAGATGGAGTTCACCCAGGCCGGG